AATCGGAGTCCGGATGAGAAAGTTATGCATGTTTTACTTTTGGGGTGGCTGCAGTTTTTGTGTTGGCCGGATGTCTGGCCACTGCTACCCAGAGGGCGTATGATTTGTGTGAAATCGCCGGATGTCCGGCCCCTGGCCCGGATGTCCGGCCGTAGATGTCTAGAAACCTTACCGAAATGTGGTTTGTATACGCCAGACATCCGGCACAGGTCCCCAAGTTTGGCCAGATGTCCGAGCTTCGGCCAGATGTCCGGGCCCTGTAATCTATTTTTCTGTGTATGTGTGTGCACACTTCACAGTGATCGGATGTTCGTCCCCAGTCTCGGATGTCCGGTCCGGCACAGCCACTTACACTCCAGTGACCATATTTGCACTACCACTATATATATCCCTCTACTCATCCGGTAGAGGGTTGACCACTTCATCCCAAATCGCCCCAAGAACACAAGTGGCTCCCTCTCACTCTTCCACATCAAATCCTAGATCCCGGAAGAATTCATGAGAGTTCTTGAGAGTTGCTCCAATCAAAAGATAGAGCCACTCCCTCTCCCTCTTGTGACCAAAGGAATTCATGATTTGAGCAAGTCTTGAGCATTTACCCCTTGATCTTGTTACTCTTGGAGGTTCGAGACTCCTAGGCGGTAGGAGTGCTCCGGTGAGGAAGCAACTTGTGATTTGTCCCCCGGAAAGTTTGTGAAGGTTTGGAGGCCGCCTCAAAGTCTACCACTAGTGGTTGGGAATCGCCTTCGTGGTGATATCTCAAGGGGAGAATAGGGTGAGCCTTCGCGGCGTTGGTGTGCCTTCGTGGTAACATCCATCCCTCCAACGGTGACTATTTTCCCTCCAAGGAAGTGAACATAGGGATACATCCTCGTCTCCGTGTCTTCAGTTATTTCTAACCCTAGCCACTACTTGTGGTTTACTTTGGTCACTTGACCTTGCATTCACTATATATATTGTTGTCCTCATTATATTGTGTTGGTTACCATATTGTAGAGATTATTTAGGCCAATACTTTATAGTCCGCAATTCATACTTGCTACTATTGATATATCTTATGCTTAGTGTGAATTGCTAGCATGTGACATTCATTTCCATATCTTGTGACATAACTTGTGTAAGCTTGTAGTGCTTACTTGAGTTTGCGTGTATCATTCAATTCCATATATTGTGATACAATTTGTGTAAGCTTGTATTGCTTACTTATGGTTGTGTGTATTATTCATTTCCATATCTCGTGATATACATTGAGTAAGTTTGTGTAACTTGTGCTTACTCATATCCTCATCGTTCTCATCTTGTTTATACTAAGTTGTTGGTGCACTTAGTGAGCCTAGTATATTTAGGATTTGTGCTTTAAAAGTATCCGCTTAGTTTATTTCCGCATTAGGATATAGCCAAATCTGTAAAAGGTTTTAAAACGCCTATTCAACCCCCCCCCTCTAGGCGACATTGTGGTCCTTTCAGTTATGCTTCTTGTGATTTGGGATGTGTACTTGGATTATTGTTTTCCGATGTATGTGTGATTGGATTAGATGTATATAGGATCTTGCTGCTGCTATAGAGAAGAGAATGCTCTGAGAATATGCTATTTGGAAGGAATAATCAAGGTCAAAAGGAGCAGTTGGATGTTCGTTCCAAAATTGAGCAGATTCATTGTCGAAATTTCCTTTGCTTAATAATTAACATAATTGCATGCATCCTTACACCAGATTAGAAAGGGTTCCTTTTGAAAAATTTCACTTCTAGCTTTCGTGAGTTTTTAAAGATGAGAAAGATAGATTACAAAATTTGCATTTCATTAGTAGTAAAGTGAATATTACCAAAGTCATGAATTTAATTCCATTCCACATAAGAATACTAACTATTGTAGGTGATGTTCTTTGTTCCCACTTTTCACTTTTCAATAGGGCATTATATAAGGTTGATTTATCAGCGGTGTGCTTGCTCTAGTCCAGAGAAAGAGGATGAGCAGAGGATGATGATCAATTGCATTTATCAAACTGTAACTATAGATTGTAGAATGTTTGCCCAAAAACAAAGTATTGTACAACCGATACAATTGCCATATATATATGGTGCTTGGACTAACAAGTGATGCCACTTTCAAGCTTTTGGTCTTTGAAGTGTAATACTTGCTAGGTTTCCAACTACAATTTATTTGTAGTAGAAGCTGAATGTATATGGCATGAATTTATACTTCTGAGTGTATGCATTGATTCAGAGTATGTTGACCCCTTGAGTTTGGCAGTTTTTTGTTGTATGGTTCTCTCTTTAAAGAATTGGAACAATTCTTCCATGGGGGCAGAATAGTTTTCATCCTCAAACGACACACAACGCCATTAAGTTTCTTATTTACCAATTGAAACATGAGCCAGTAATAGCACAATTAAAGTTTTTTAACATATCATCATAAAATGGATGGCTGGATTATGGTTGTATGCATTCTTCTAGGGTCATTTCATATGGTATTATAAGTTAGTTTCATAGTTTTCTCATAATATTCTGTGCCATTGTATATGTCTATATTTTCTGTTAGGGATGTTTTTTTTTCACCTTTTCCATCGTCGATCACTCATCCACCAGTTTTAGCTCCAATGATGAGTAATGTGACTTTTTTTCTCCCGTTGTAACGCAACGCACGGGCATTATTCTTTATCTTTACCTTATATATATATATATATATATAATAATAAAGAAAATTGGATTTCTGATCGTCCGTCATGAAATTGCCCCTGAAGTTGTAAATATTTACTCGCCATGCCACCGGCAAGTCAAAAACGATTCGTTCTTTTCGAGTCGCTGCATCGACCGTGGGTTGGGTTCATTAGGAGTACGTCTCATATTATATCACAAGTGCTAGGTAACACACTGGCTAAAGGCCCTCTCTTACACCTGGGAGATCCAGGTTCGATCCCCGCCTGCTCTCTCCCTTTTCTATTTTGCTTTTCTCATCCTTTTTCTCTTTAAATACAGGGTGGCGTAGGATATAGTTGTCTCGCCCAAGCGTCATTTATCAGATAGTGCATGCATAATGTTTGTAATTTTGGCCCAGCTTCTCTCTGTTTAACTTTTTTTTGGACAGATTCAAATGCTTTTCTAAATATTCATATCTTTTAAACGTAACTTTAAATCTAAAATGTTATATATGAAAATTTCTTAGAAAAATTTGTACATTTGAAAAATGCTATTATCCTGCATGTTAACCATTTCTAAAATTACATTTGGAATGCAACGTTAAATGCTATCTTTTATAGAGTATTTTGAAAATGCCTACTACATATGTCCCCTACCCTATTTAAATTGTGTAGATATGATAGTCTGACGCTCTCAGGAGAGCTATTATTGGTATCATAGAGGATGTTGATTCCTACAAATTAGGGATCTTGACTTGGATTACAGTTGTAAATACATATATCAGCAAGATAAAAATAATGCTCTTATGCACATGCTATCATTGAGTAATAAAAATTACTTTGCTCTTGTCATCAATATTTGTTGGACATCACTGAGGAGTAACTACAATAAAGGTGTAAAGAGATAGCGACAACTAGGTTGATATTTCCATTATCTAATAAGTTGGAAACATTTTGAGTACACATGAAAAATCATCCGACTTTTAGTTTTTTATATGCAATAATTATGTTGTTTGTCATGCGCCATCGTAAAAGATTCAAGGGATTTGCTGATGTCGTTGCTATGTGTACGAGGGATGATTTTTCTCCCGTGGCAACGCACGGGCATGTTTGCTAGTACTACTTATAAAAGAAACATGAATGTTCCGATGACAAATTTTAACAGAAAAATGTTTGTCTAAATCATGGCAAAAATAAATAAAAAATGGGTTTTAACATGGCAGATTAAGAAAAAAAATGGTTTTTGTAAAAATCATGTCAAATTTATAAAAAATTCATAGTGTTCACACGGCTAATTCTTGCATTGCAAAAAAAGTGTGTGCTTGTGTAAAGGCAAAAAGTTGCCATGTCAATAAATCTGATATAGTATATAAAAAGAATTTACTATGATTTTTCAAAATATGGAAAATTCAGGAATTCTTCATGGGCGCATGGCAAAATTTATAATTTTTTCCTCTAAAAGCACATGTCAGCTTTTGGGAATTTGTAATGGGCACATGGCAAAGTTGGGGATTATTTCTTCTGAACAGATGGCAAATGTAAGAATTTGCCATAGACACATGGTAAATTTAGTTCTCTGAAAACATTTCAAGTTTTGGAAATTTTGTCATGGTATTTAAAATTAATTTGACATGGTTTGTACAGTAAATTTGCCATGGTTAAGCTGCATATAAACATAAATTTGTCATGTTCCATGTCAAAATTGAAGAAATAATATGTTATTTTTTTGTGGGTGGAAGAAATAATATGTTCACTAAAAATCATGGCAAAACAAATTGGAAAAGACAAAAACCTGTTTTATAAAGGTCATGGTAGATTTTTAACGTACACTATGTACAAAAAGAATTTGGCATGATATGCATGGTAACTTATAAATAAAAATTCGATGGTGAATACAATGAATTTGCCATAGTGTAAAGGCATCCGGTGAAAGTACATGGTCCTATCTGCCGCCCCCTGCACAGCGTGCACAAACCTGTACGCCCCAGGCTTCAAATCTTCGATGGCCAAATTGCGGCATATAAACGTGAGAGAGGCAGCCATAGACACGACACGCCTCACAACTGTAGAACAATTTCCACGCGTTGACGTATTACGAGCAAAAGCATGAAGCCGACACAACACTTCAGAAAAAATATCAAGGGTCCACATCCAGCGGCAACATAATGTACCAGAACGCCAAAAAAGACATGATAACCGGACAGCCATTCAGAGAGATATACTCCCTCCGTAAACTAATATAAGAGCGTTCAAATCACTAAAATAGTTATGAAACCACTTTTATATAAATCCAGCTGATCCATACAGCAATATCATACATATAAAAGGTTAGTTTACAACGGATAGCATCCCCCTGCTGGGCAATTAACGGTACCCAATCTGCACTTCAACTTTACCATGGTCAGCATTGCAGATTGCCTTTTCATACTGATCATGGTAGAAGGTAAGATCACCTTGGAAGGAGATGGCATGACCGTCATTAACATGGTCAGAATTAGTAAAAACGCTAAGGTTCAGCTTGATTATCAAGAGGGGCTCTAAGTATATCGGAACAGCTGCCCAAGTCCGCAACAATGGAAGTGTGCCATCGACAACCTCTGCCATATCATCTTCTCCACACTGGAAAAGCAGGACATTGAAGTCGCCGTAGAACTCATGGTGCGCTGTGATTTCGCCATATGCATAGCTACAGCCACTGCCAGATGTGAGATCAAGGTTGACGCACAATCTGGCCTGTATAGCACGATACATCGGCACGAAAAACACGTCTATATCACGGCCATATCTTGTTGGCATTGTGTGGACAATGACATTGTTACAGAAGTATGGGTCCACATAGAAGACGTAGTTTGCAGTGTCAATCCGGTTATCATCCTCTGGGATTTCAACTTTAATGCGGACATAGTCCTCAAGCGCCGCCCCTTCTGCCCTGAGAATCAAATTACCCTGCGCATATGGCAATGGAATAAAATGATTCAAAAGATGCGAAAAAAACAAAAATAAAGATATACTGCCTTCATTTCAAGAGGTTAAAGATAGGTTACAGAACTAAGGGCCTCTTCTATTTGCAAGAATTATAAAATGCATGAATAGGAAAGACACATGAATAGAATGGCATGCCATCTTATACTCACTATGTTCCTTTATCTAAGGTGTATTATTTTTTACACAATGGCCAACAGACATTATTAAGGAGCGATTGGGGCTGAAGTACACCTTGCTAATCCCTTCGATGTTAAGATTAAAAGACCGGAAACACAAGCTGGAATCCACTTCAGACGGAAGCAAGTCGATTCGGTGGCCCGCAATAGCAAAGTCGCCCGCATACATGATCTCCTACTCTACTTGCATGGGTCATGCAATGTTTTTGAATCAACGAGTCGTTCTGGGGTAGCGACTCTCGACTAGTCCTGACTGTAAAAAAAACTACCATAGTAAATGTATATACTTATTAATAGTCAGCGGCAACCAAGGGAGGAGCCGCGGCACCAGGGGAGGAGCAGACCAGCAGCAGCAGCAACCAGGGGAGGAGCGGACCAGCTTGCGGCGGCACCGGTCGGCAGGATTGTGGGGGCGGCGGCAGCCAAGGGAGAGGGTCGCATAAGCCAGGATAGGTTTGGGTCGGGGGGGATTCTGGGGCGATCTAGGTTTCATGGGGGGGTTGTGCAAGCAAATGGGAAAAAATATGACAGGCACGGCCAACTTTTAGTCGTTCGACTCGAAAACCATGGGGCCACGCAAGGCATCCCCCGAAGAAGGATTGCATACAAACCAAAATGAAAATATTGGGAGCTTTTTTTTTTTCAACCAACCGATTGGGATGTTGGCTTGATTTTATCGTGAGGTTGCCATGTACATGATGGGTGGAGGAGTAAAAGCGGAATTATATGGGGTTACAAATACCCCTTACATTAGAATATAGTAAAAAAAACAAATATGCCTAACATAAAGGAACAAATGGAGTACTACAAAGTTGTATGGATGTTTGATCATGCACACGAAAACCATATGGAAATTTTTGAAGGAAATTTCATATGGATTGTAATCCTACAAATCAAACCAACATAGAGAAAATTCCACACGAATTCCTTTGAATGAAATTGTCCCTAAAAATTCAGATGCAAGAGTGTTTGACAACGCAGAAGAAACAAAGGGATTCTAACGGAAGGTTTGAATGTAATACCTTCCCTGTTCATTGCAGGTTGGCTATTTGTTAGTACGGGTTTAGCTTATGACGTGTTTCGAAGTCTTCGGCCAAACGAGTACTTCATGGAATGCCGACAAGGAATAAACGGCCATTTTGTTTCTTTATGACAAATCGATGAATCCATAGATCCTTTTAGGAGGCCCTAAATAACCACAGATCGAACCTATCCTGTATTTACAATGCGGATGGCTGGCTACTCATATGGACTAGCTGTAGCTACTATTTATTTTCTTGGTAGCAATATTGGGAATGCAGTTCATCCAACGATAAACCAAATTCCAGCTATAGAAACTATTGACACAATCAAACCTGAATGAACAAAATGTTGAATTGGATTGTGCCAGTCTATATCTATAACTCCAAAATAGATTGCAAATGAATCATAAGGGAAATTATCTTAAAGTTCTAATCCCACGAAACATTCTAAGGATCTAAATCCTACAAAAACCATATGCAATATCTTTGAATAGAATAAGCCATAAGAAGCGCTCTACTATGAAACAGAGGGTGCATTACATATACCTGTGAATCAACATTACGATGAAGTGGTCCATTCTCCGAGTTGCAGTAGTAATGGGAACGATCGTTGAAAGCAACGAAGGTGCCCACGAAGGGAAATCGGGGACGCACAGATAACAGCTCCACCAAGTCCCGAGATAAGCTGTAAGCCATCGATAGATTAATGCTGTCTCCGTCATAGCCAATTTTGAGACTCGGTGGAATATCCTTTCTGTAGTACTCTTCATATCCACCGATCTCAGACCAGTCGCCATCTGTGTCATAGTAGTCGCCACAGTTACTGCCATCGTAGCGATCACTATTGTGGCCGTATTCAGCAAGCTGCTCGCTGTAATCATCATCTGCAGCAGGAGAGTTTTTGTCTCCCGTTTGCTCATCAGCAGGATTGGCAGTTTCTTCTCCCGTTCCCGTTCCCCTTGCCCTTTCCCTTTCCCTTACACCTCTACTAAAAAAAAGCCGTCGAACAACATCGAGAGTCCCGTAATGAATAAATCTAATGGGCTCAGAGATGCAGGCCTGTTTCAGGAGAGGATCGGTTATTGTATAAATAATGAAAAAGAAAGAGATACTCCTAGGACCGTAATCAATCATGCTTCCATCGATCAGATCGATGTTGGGTAAACTATTTCGTCTAGCTAGCAGATACAAAATCAAAATACCTGCAGAGAGCAGAAGACGGCACTCCAACATGCTCTTTCGGGTTCGGCGGAAACGCTCAGCGGCATGCTTCTCCGTTCAGCGGCATGCTTCTCCGTTCAGCGGCAGCGATTGGATAGGGGGCGGCGGCCCTTGGCAGGTTATTAAACCCTAGATCGATCCGATGGCGCCGGTAGTATATATATATGCCCAAACCTAGTCTTGCGGCCTGGGCAATCTCTCTTTTCCGTATCGTTTCCCCCCTCAAATCCTTTATGATGGATCAAATCCCCCTCAAGTCTAAAACCGGATTAATCACCCCCTTAAATCTGTAATACCGGATCAATCAGGCCCCGAGCGGTTTTGAACAAGATTTTAGGTGGTTTTGATAGGAACTGCAAGATTTCTAACTTGTCGACGTCGCCGACGACGTGGAAATTTTCTAGGATCTCGGCACCGGCGACGTGCTCCCCCGGCCGACCCCTTATTCTAGGGGAATCTGGCTCAGAAGGATCGCTGACGCGGACTTCGGCTCGACGCACATGTTCGGGAGGCGAGCTCCCCGAGGAGGAAGACAGCCATATGCAAAACCTGCGCGCTGACAGAGTTGAAGAGGACCTCCACGAAGCCATTGATCAGGGCGGCCGCCTCGCGCCAGAGTCGCCCGATCCTGCAGGCGCATGTTTTATGCATGCTTGATGACCAGGCAATCTGAACCAGTTACATATGCAGTGCAGACATGATCAATCAGTCTAATTTCCTGATTATGCAACTCACATCGGGCATCACAGCACGGGATAGGATTCCCAACATTCTTCTCAAGTAACCTGACAGTCTTAACATGTGTACATACTTCAGTCCAATCCACAAGCGATTGCAGCACACCCACCAATTCAAGTCCTATTAAAAAAAATCAGTTCAACTAGATTCCCAGCACAAGTGATTTCTTCAGATTAACACACATGCTCGTGCACCAGTTGTTTGGACAGGGCTGCCATTGTCACGGACGAGGACTTGGAAGACGCAACCTGAACCGGCTATGGAGGTTGTGCACGGCGATCCAATTGGAGGAGCATGATATGGCTCACACTGGCCGACGACTATGCTGCGGCTGACCCCGATATGGCTCACACCGGCCGTCTACTTCCTCACCAACACGCAAGCGCAGACCATGTTCGTGCAGCAGGGCACGAAGACGGACTCCCACATCACGGGCAGCGCCGTCGACGTCCATCGAGACGGTGCTCGTCGCCACCTGCGTCACGATCATAACAGGGCCGTCGCATCATCCGTGGCGTTCGCGCCGCTGCGGCTCACGGGGATCGGGCACGCGACGGCGACTGGCACAGTGGCCACCATGGCCGCGTGCGCCGAGACGCGCAGGCTGCAGATGGCGGCACAAATGGGCATAGCATGGCTACTGCTGCAGTACGTCATGATGGACACGTGGAGAATGAGCTGGTAGCAAAGTCCTCGACGGGCTCGCTCGCCGCCACCCGACAAGTTCGAAATCGTGCGATTCTTCTCCAAAACCACCTAAAATCCTGCTCAAAACCACTCGGGGCCTGATTGATCCGGTATTACAGATTTGAGGGGGTGATTAATCCGGTTTTAGACTTGAGGGGGGATTTGATCCATCATGAAGGATTTGAGGGGGAAAACGATACTTTTCTCTTTCCGATTTGCTGCTTCTAGAACTTAGTCAGCCCAGGCCCATTAATCTGTAACGAACTTTCCAGGGATGCCCCGCGTCGCGGTAGCCCAGATGGGCCAGCCCATCAGTGCGGGAGGCCACGGCCTGTTTTTTGTTTTTTATTTCTGTTTTACGTTCTTGTTTCTTGCTTTATTTTGTACTTTTCTTCATACTTTAAAATATTGTACATATATATAAAAAACACTCTTCAAAAATATATTTGAAAAATGTTGCAAAATGTTGAATAAGTATTTGAAAAATGTTGAACAAGTATCCGAATTTTTTTGAATAAGTTTAAAAATATTGAAGAAGTATTTGACAAATGTTGAATAAGTATTAAAAATTGTTGAACGAGTATTTGAAAAGTCTTGAACCATTATTCGAAAATCTTGAATAAATATTTGAAAATGGTGAATAAGTATTTGAAAATGGTGAACATGTATAAAAATGTTGAATAAGTACTGAAATTGTTGAATAAGTATTGAAAGTGTTGAACAAGTATTTGAAAATTGTTGAATAAGTATTAAAATGTTCAGCAATTATTTGAAAAATGTTGAATAAACATTCGAACAATGTTGAATGGGTATATAAAAAATGTTGATCACTTATTAAAGAAATGTTTTTAACATGTACGAAAATGTAGAGTGAGAATGAAAACAAACATAAGAAAAAACAAAAATAAAGAAGAAAAGGGAAAACCAAACAAAAATGGAGAAGAAATAAGAAAACCGAAGAAAAAAAATGAAGATGAAATTCTCTTGGCCCATTCATGTATAGTTTGTGAATCGTGTGAGTGGGACTAAAGTTGAGTGAGCCTTGCACCTCTTTATAAGGTGAGCTCTTCTACCACTTTTTTTGAGGGAAAGCCGTCATGGCGGTTTATATTTCATGCGCAAAAAGTGATACATCGTTTGTTAATACTTCTACTAGAAACCGCGGAGGCTCCGATTTCCAAACAATTGTATGAGAGAACTCCAAGTTTCTAGCCAATAAATCTGCCGCCGCATTGGCCTCCCTAGGGCAGTAGGAAAACATAATAGAAATAAAATTTCTAGCAAGAAAAGAACATTCTTCATAAATTGCGGCTGCCGGGCCTAGCGAATTACCACCCCCTTGCATGACTTCAACGACCTCCATGCAATCGGACTCGACGCAAATTTTATTGCACCCAACTTCATTTGCGAGTAAGAGCCCATCTCGCATACCTCTAGCTTCTGTCGTAGCCGCGTCTTCCACAAAAGGGATATTACTGCATGAAGCTGCGACGAAGAAACCAGCTTCGTCTCGTAATATTGCACCTGTACCCCCTGTTCCCCTATCAGGATCAAAAGTGGCATCGACATTAAGTTTGATAACTCCCTCCGGTGGCTTACTCCATCCATATCTTCTCAGTTTCGCTTGCTTCGACTTTGCCTTGAAAAATTTTCTTAGCAAGAGCTAAAATTGCTTGCGCTGACCTGCTTGGTTCATACACATATTCACAATGAGTGTAACAGCGTCTTTCCCACCAAACGTACCACACTGTAGTGGCCACAAGGTCATTGCGTTGAACATCATTCATATGAGCCATGTTATTGTTCGTTGATAGAAGAAGATCAGCCAGCACCGATCCGCCATCCCTTTCCAGCGCACACATCTCCTGAACCACATCTTGCAGTCCCAATATCCTCCAGATTTCTTGAACTCTAGGGCACAAGAACATGGCATGTCTAATACTCTCACAATCCAAAGTGCAGAGAGGACATTGAGAGCTTGTGATCATATGCCTGTTAGCAAGGACTCCATTACAAGGGATGGCGCCAAGCAAAGTTTTCCATACATGAATTTTTATTTTAGCTGGCACACGCAATTTCCAAATGGTACGCCAAATTGGACTAGTACTTGAGGCTTGTATAGAGTTAGTCATCCTTAACTTTCGTCCGTGTTGATGCTCCCACTCTTCATGGTATGCCAATCTAACCGAAAATATTCCACTTCTATTATGGTGCCATGACACAAAATCATCCATCATCCCCAAAGCCAGTGGGATATTTAATATGCCTTGCACATCAATAGGCCAAAACAACTCCGATATCAACTGTTCATCCCACACTCTATTTTCTACCACTTGTATGGGCATGAGAAGAGGAGACCTACACGCATGCTCCTCCTCCTCCTCGCCACACCCCGCTGCGCCGTGGAAATAAGCCAGGGACAGAGCTATGCACATTGTCTATACTGGATCGTTTCCGATTCTTTTGGATCGCGACTCGGGACGTGGGGTTTACTCCCACGACCTACCCGACACCATCGTTCCAGATCATCACGCCGCCACGCAAATCTTCTCCATCCCTCCTTTCGGCTTGCACTGCGAGAAGGGACGGCAGACCTCCGGAACCCCGCCTCTCGTGATGGGCGATCAGGTTTTTGGGGAGCGCACTCGCACGAGGGACGTGGGGTTTACTCCCATGACCTACCCGACACCACCGTTCCAGACCATTGCGTCGCCACACAAGTCTTCTCCATCCCTCCTTTCGGCGTGCACCGCGAGAAGGGACGGCAGGCCTCCGGAACCCCGCCTCTCGTGACCCTGTACGAAGAGGGGCGATCAGCTTTTTGGGGAGCGCGCTCACGCGACTGCTGGCAGCGATGACTTCTTCCTCGACCTTGGCAACCTCTTCCTCAACAACATGGGCGACAACCTCAACGCCAACGTTGCTGCTCCCATTGCACCGTATGTGATTCTGTCCTTTCTGTTCGAGATCATGGTAGAATTCATGTTTCTAGTCTACGCCCTAGATTCGATCTGTTCATCTACTATGCTAGTTCACATGATTAGTTTAATCTCTATTATTGCCGTCGTGATTTATTTTGTGTTTATTCGGATTAAATCTCGTGCTAATTTGCTCATATATTCAACAAAGTTTGCACGTGCATTCTTTAGGAAGAATTTTGTGTTGCCTATCTTGCATCCAGATGTCACTTACACTTGGGAGAACACAACTTTAATAGTTTACTCATATCGTTCTCCACCCCATTTGTCTCCAAGTTTATTTTCCTCCATCTTAGGACTAAGGAAACATTTTAGGATTAATGTGCCAACTTGTATACAAATTAATGTAAGTGTGTGAGAGAGGTGACATGCCACACCATGACCTCATATTCGTCTTACCAAGCCAAGCATACTTTCCATAAATGAAAAATACCAGAGATTAAAATGGACATAGCTAAGCTCGTAACTCCAGGTGGTTGTACATTATCTCCCGATATTTTCAGCTATACTTCCGATGGTTGAAGATGCAACACACCTGAAGACCAGACAAAAAATTCTGCAAGAGTTCTTGTAGAGTTTCTTACAACACGTTTGCTGATCTGAATAAATACAAATGTATACCAAATGTACAGTTATGTACGGTA